TGGCATTTATTCCCTGCTGAGGCAAAAAAAATTTAGCACAGTAGCTAAGTATTCCCCCTTGCTGAACTGAATGGAGCTCACCAGCCATGTGCTACTCTTTAGAGCAATGAGCCCAGGAAGACCTGAACAGAAAATGCCTGTTCCCAAACTGTTGTATTTTTGTGACAGGTAAAAATATACGATCAGATTAATATGACTAGATGTACTGGTAATTGAAGTGATGATTTTCAATTACTTAGGTCAGGCAGAGTTCATGCACTAACCCATTTCAGGTATTTTTGGACTGAAATGCCATGATACTAAGGTATGTTTATTTTTAACACTATGAGAATAAACTCAAGACTTACTTTACTAAAATTGCAATAATTTCCCAGCAACTTCTTCACCTGTCAATATAGAAACAACTCGTGCAGAGTCTGAAAATAAACCTGTCCATGCCAAATGTACTGCTAACATCACACTAGATAGTCACCATACATTCTTTTCTCTCTCTCTCTCTTAAACACACAGAGGAATTTTTGTCAGGTTTTTTCAAGACGTCCAAATTTTTATTTAAGACTCTTCACTAGTGTTCTTTCTGATTTATAGATGAGGAAAGCACCTTGAGAAGCAAAATGACAACACAGGCAACAGACTAGTAAAGAGCAAGTTCCTTTAGCACCCATGCCCTGTCATGATGGCTTCCTCCAAAGTACTGTCACTCTGTAAGCATCACTGTTCTTCCATTCAGCGCCATACTTCTGGAAATAACTCTTCAAAACATGACATTCAAAAAATCCAGATGGTAACCAAACACAAACTTTGGTTTGTTTGGGACATGCTACTTAATTTTAATGTTAATTTATTCCACTGTGAGGTTTAGCCACCAGTAGACATTTTGTAAAAATGAAACCATGAGCTGTCTCCAAGAAGATAAAGCATGTGACAAGTCACTGTGCTGAGAGAAACTATGTGCATTACATGATAAAAATAAGTGCAAAGCCACATGTACACACCAAATCTATATTTTTATACTGAAAAATGTTTATCAAGAAGGTATTTTGTGCTTCCCCCTATATTATAACCATACATACCCAAAGGCTGGATTTTCTCCCACATTCATTTTAAACTTCTTAACTTATGGAGAACTAGACCCAAGGCAAAAAACAAAGCTTGAACTATGTGATAAGAAGTTAAACTCCAGCCTAACTCAGTAGTATTGTACTTTCCTAGTCTTTTGGATATGTGCTGACACAAGTTTTAAATCTTTTCATCCTTTCCTCTAAATAAAGCAATCTGGGACAGCTCAGCTTTAGTGGAAACTCAAACAATGAATTCACAGAGCAAAGGCAGCAGACCATCCTCCTTATGAGGACATGAAAACACAGCCCTAAGCTCCAATACAATCATCCTTTAAGCTCAATATGCCTTAGTTTCCCCTAATATGCTGTTAGTGGTACTAACACCACTTCAGAGTGCTCCAGTTCATTATCTGCTCATACCCTGAAGTTATCTTCTTTGTTAGAAATAACCTTTGAATTTTTAGTACAATTAACTTGTAGTATTTATTTAGTTATTTATTCAAAACACATCTTCCTAGAACACTTTAAGAACTTTATTAGGATGCTTTACAAGGAAAAAATAGCTAGTATTAAAAAGAAATAAAGAGCTACGACTTCACTGATAGTTACATGATCCTTTAACCACAAACTTTGACCTGGCTCTAGCAGTGTGGTCTTTATCAGCAGCAAGTCCCAGAAGTTGTCATTTAAAACAATACTTGCCTTTCTAACTAGGGCTCAATCAATGAAACAAATTTAATTCATATTTTACATACAGTACATTAATAAAATTGTGAATGAATGTATTGTTTGGAAAGTCTGAAGGAAAAGCTGGAAAGTCAAAGAATATCCTGCCTGAGGCTTCCATAGAGACAGACACAATAGTTATGACACTCCTATGGTATGCGTGCCACAGACTTCTGGTTTGAGCATAGAATTCACGGGCATTAGAAAAGGTTTTTCAAATTTGAAATCTTCTATGATTCACAATACTCCCGTTTTTTGGCTTGGCTATATATTTAAGGAGAATGAACAAGACAGAGCCAAGCAGTATTAAACAAGGGCCAAGGAAGCGTGATCTGCACTCTGCAGCCCTTGGAGCTGCTCTTTACCCTCCAGGTTCAATTCTTTGGAACTTACTGAAGGCTCTGGCACAGAGGCAGGGAGCCTCTCTGCTACTAGAGCAGAAGTAGAATGTCCCTTTGTCCCACAATTCACGTGAAACAAGAACCCTTGAATCAGCAAAGGGAAAAGCTCTTCTAGGACAGAGGCAGTCCCACGGATTGGAAACAGGCATGGCACAACACAGGCAAACAGCTCTGTGGAAAACTGGAGCCCTTGATTTCTACTTGGCATACTGCACTCGTCTACAGGTGCAACTAGAGCTTCCTCAGCATTTCCCATGTTTTCTGTGTGATTCTGTGTTCTTTTTTCAGAAAGCTTTTGGGAAATCAATGCATTTGTCCTTGTGAGCAGAGTGGAATTGTGGATTAGCAACAGATGATGACCACACAAAGTTGTTCAGCCGGTAACCCTCATGGTTTACCATCCCAAGCTGCCCTACCTACTCAAAAATTGGGTCATGAAAAGTGGGAAGGCTGATGAGTCCCTAATAAGAGACTGAAGTTAGCTTCTGTTTGCAGCAAAAATATTGCCTTAGAGAGAAAATACAGAGAATGCAGTTTTGGAGGGAGAGGGACCACAGGGACTAAACTGGGAGAGGTAATGGTGGATCAGTACCCTGGCATTCTGCAATCTGATTCTTTGACCTCTTTATAAAAAAGAAAAATAGAAACCTTAACATGGTGGAAGGAAAAATACATAAATCATATGGCACTTAAGGAGATCCAAAATGGTTATGGAGAGCTATTGAGATGTTTAAATGTGATTAGGGATGGGTCAATACTGAGAGCTGGTTAACTCCTTGCAACAAATAGGTGAGCTCCCACATCTGCTCAGCAGCATTATCCCAGTGCCACTGCTGCATGCTGGCAGGATGTCATGAGGCACCACAACTTTCAGCCCTTACCATGACCAGCAGAGACTAAGATAGAGTATTGAGAGGAGGTATGTGAGTCCCACCAACACAGCAGCAAACCTGTGGCATCCACCTGAGAAACAGTCACTCCTTCCTGCACCATCAGCGACTAAGTTTACTGTGGCAATTCTTGAGTTCAGGTAACTTCTTGTTTGGCATGAATTCTGAGGGTTGCTGCTCACAGTTTCAAGCCTGTTTTTGTAACCAGAAGAGCCTGAAATAGTTTTCTGAAGCAAACACTTATCTAAGGGTACAGTTTTGGCAGTCAAAGCCTTAGGGACACATTCCTATTGTTCCTATGCCTTAATGCAGGCAGCTGAAGCCCTGCTGAGCCAAACCAAGCAAGCTCAGCATGATCACAGTCTGAACACCTGTGCAGTGCACTGAGCGGAAACGGATGGCTCTCAGTGGAGCACCTTTCCACTCCCAGAGCAAGGTAAGGGGAGAGGGAAAATCCTGGGTGAGGAGGAAGAACACAAACTAGCTGAATGCAAGCTAGTTGATATGAAATGGGAGCGATGATGTAGTAATTGTAAGAGAAGATCAAAATTAAACTGAAAGTAGGTCCAAAATTTTATTAACTGATGGAAGATGCTGTTCTTTTGGCCCAGAGAGGAATGAGGACTCTTATCACACTGTTGTTCAGGACGTTGTTCCTCAGTTGTTTCCTGAGCAGACCTGAACTGTACTTGTTGCATTAAGGACATATGACAGGAATGGTCAACAAGAAGATAACAGTGAAGAGTCTCCAAAACAGTAATGAAAAACCTAAGACTGTGAATACTTTAGAGTACAAACAAGCCCATGTTCTTTGCACCAATCAGTAACAAACTGTACTGGAAATAGGACAGAGTCCTTCAAAGTTCAAAATATCAAGGGTACTCTTTCTCTTGTACCTTGACGACAGGAAAAAGAACAACAATCTCAGACAGCTTATGGTATCCACCAAGTGATAGACCTCTTGGTGCACTTAACAGCGTCACCACCACATTAGGTCAACTGAGAGAGCAGTGCCCCTTCCCAATGCTGCAGCACTGCCCATCTTCCTGTCCTGGTGATGCACAGTGACACCATTACATTCCCACTGGGTACTGCAGAAACAGTCTTGCCTAACACTGTCAGCTGTGTTGGAGGAGAAAAATTAAGCCCTATAAGGATACAGCTAAATATAATCAAATTTAGTTCTGCAATTAGAGTTGAATATAGTAAAAGCTGCAACTTTCATAAAGATGACTCATGATTAGACATGATGTCACACATGAAAAATTTAATCCAAACAACTTGTCTGTTTCACTACAAACAGCAAACTCGAATGTCCTGGCAAACTGTAAGGACATGATTTACAAATACTAGGTAATATTTGGATCTTACATTATAAGCATTGCTCCAGTCTTTCTGAGAAATAAAAATGATTTCATTCTGGGCTTAGCTTGGTCATTTCAATAGACCAAGCTTCACCAGAGACATAAGCTGTAACTGTACATATTGAGCTCAATATATACAAAGTTTTGTTTTGGTCACAGACCACACAACAAGTGTCCACCCTTAATATTTCTTGTTGCTTTGAGGCTTTTTGCATTGCGATACTATTAGACTTCCAATCAGGACTGGCAATCTTGTAACCTCACAGCTTTTGAACTAAAATGGCTGTTAGTATTAACCACACAATGTGCAGATTCTGAAAGAGCAGTTTTGCTTTCTTTTCCTTGAATGCACATAACAAGTAATTGGTTACTTTTTCCAAACTGCTTTGCCCTACCACCTAACTGTTCCCCAGAGCCCTACAATGAAACTTGATCTACTGTTAACTTGGTTTTTTTTAATGTAAGCTTGAAAAACTTCCAAATGAATGCCATTAACTCCATGTCTTGTGCGACAAGTAGCTATGATAGAGAGCAGGCCAAAGGACTGTGTATACTTACGAAGAAAACTCTTCGGATTCCAGGTGCCAGTCTTTCTGTTTTTAGCTTCCAGACCAAAGGCAAAGGAGAGTTGAGAAGAAACACCAAAGGCTTCTGGTGAATATGCACTGATGAAATTGGATTCAAATGTAACGTGACCTACAGAGAAACACAGAAATATGTGAGTACTTCCTGGAATTTGAAACAGCGAATCAAAAGTAATTTTTATATATATTATGACTTTTAACATTCAGACCTCTTGACTCAAGACTGCAGACTAATCTACTTCCACAAAAATCAGTCAACAGAGCAGAGAGAATATAAAAGACGAAATAGTTAACATTTGTGCTCTATGCTTGCAAAGCACTGCTGAAGTGTTTAAGAAAACCTTGGCAAATGTTGATGAAAAATAGCTTATGCAAAAGGTCAAACCACTAAGCTGAGAGTTGGAGAACAAGGAGATAAAATGAATTGCAAAGCAAACTCCGATTTCTGGTTTCTAGATGGTAGCCTACAAAGCTGGCTTAGAGTACAAAATCTTATCTGCTGATTCTATTAGGGGCATAAATCTAGCCTGCAAAACAAATAAAACTAAACAAACAAAAAACAGGAGGAAAAAATCCAGAAACACAAGGAAGCACTACACTAGTTCATGGAAGAAATTCCAAAAGAAATTTTAACATACACTAGGGAAAGAAAATGCCTGTCTTCAGGGACTAGAAGGATATATAGGGTAAATGATCTCAAGAAAGTGGACATCACAAAAGTGAGGCAACCTATTACAAGTGGCTTTGAAGCTACCAGTCTGTGTTCTGGAAGCCCCTCCTGCTCAGCTCCTTGTATCCTGGTGCTGCCCCTCTAGAAAGGGTCCCATGTTGGACAAAACCCTCACCAAATGCATGATAGAACAGCCTGTCAGTTTTTAGCATACAACAACTTGCAACTGATATCACAGTGTTTTTACAGCATCTAATAAGCTGTTTAAGCAGTGATTATTTAGCTTGATAGCTCAACCCACATTATAGGAAGTAACATTTAGTGTGCAATGGAGAGATGATCTACCACAGACTGAGCAGAGAAGCTGATGTCCCACAATAATGGGTGATAGGTAGATTCCTTGATAGACAACCACAGTTCTTTCTCAAAAAGGTATAGAGGGAGCAAACATGAACACAACCACCAATCTGAGTGGTGGCAAATAGAAATGAGCATACAGGTAATTCAGAATTAATTCTGTATCCTGCTAAAGAACTTGAAAGGAGATCTGAGACCATGTATAGTCCATTGCATGATTCTTCTATAATGGCAAGCAGACATCAGTTTATCATTAAACGTAGATTCTTCTGGCAAAATAACTTCATGAAAGTTAGACACCAAATTGAAAATTAGGCACCCATTACTGTTGAAAATATTTCCAAAAGAACAAGTTAGGGTGTTTTTTTTATTTTTTAATTTTCTTCATTTCCCCTTGAAAAGTTCACCATCACTGTAAAGCGAACGCCAAGACCTGGTCTCAGATCTGACAGACACCTGGAGGTGTCCACTACTCAAGAACTTGCAAAAAAGCTGGCAAACAGCTGGCTGTGCTCTCATGCCAATGAGAAAGCAGTTGCTTACATGTGCAGAATGACTGACTGTGTTGCTCATCCCCATAGTGGCACAGATACCAAATCCCACAGGCACATCTCTGGGGGCACCAAGGGCATCTCTGTCCTCCTCCTCTTTGTTAAGCAGATTAAAACTTGTTGGAAAACTGAATAAATCCGTATTTGTACTAAACCCAAGCTGCTTTAAAGAACAAGCATCTCTCCCCATCAGCAGCTAGGCAGTGGCAGTGCTGCCTGCAGGACAGCCAGGCACTGCCATTTTCTGCCCACCGCTGCCATCTCTGTCACCACTTGGCCTCTCCAGCAGAAGACCCAGTGGTATTTATGCATTTCCGAAAGAAAACACTAAGTACCAAAGATTACCACAAACCACATTTCTCTCCATTTTCTGCCTCTAAAGAATACAATACCTCATTTTTGGAAACTGGAGGGTGTTAGTGCTCTCAATTCTAGTGGGAGGACAGAGACTTGAAATACCAAACAGGCATGTTTTTAGCTACAGAAACTGTTTTACGGTATCAGCTATAGAGCCAAAGTAATTCTGTTAGCTGAAAATAAGAGAGAAAGTGAAATTATTTGTTTTATAAGGCTCCTGCTTTGTTGTTCTGTCTAGAAATGGCAAGGTGAAAGTAGAAAGGAAAAGGTGTTTAGAACCACTATTAATTCACGACTATTAAAAAGCTTTTGTTAATTCTTGTGGGTTTTCAGCTGTAATCACTGCTAATTACTAATAAGCTGTTTAAACTATTAAATATAATTATCTTGTTCTGGGGCTACGTTTTCTTATAAAGCAATAAAAATACTGTAATCTCAGTTTACCAAAGTAGCCCAGTTATATCTTTTGCAGTCCTTATCTTGCTAACGACAGTGCAAATTTTATTCTGATATTTTTTTCAGGTGCCAGTGGCATAAAGTGCATTCAACACACTTTTATATGCAATGATAATTGGTTGCTTTTGATCCTAAAGGAAGCAAAGACTAATGAAAATATTGATGAAATGAGTTACAGTATAGTTTATGAGCTTAAATAACCAAGAATAGAAATCCTTGTGCACTGGTCAACAGGAGCACTCACCCTGGGCTTGCACCCTGGTTGTGTTTCTGTTAGAATGCCAAGTCAGTGCAAAGAAAAGACTCCTATTAGAAACTCATTTGAAGGGTTCATTTGATCACTGAGCTGTTGCACAGCCAACATTTTCATTATGTAATCAATAGCTAGGTCAGACCTTCTGGACATGTGTGTCAGCAATGATCCTCTCAGCAAGGCTCAACTTCAGCAGCTGTTTGTCAGAGGAAGCTCCTCTTCCAGACTCACATCTGCCCTTTGTGTCCCCCTTTGGCACACACGCCTCCAAATAATACATGACCAACTTGTGAGGAATACAACAATTTAGACACAGATGAAATGTACAGATTAAAATTATTCTGAAAATCTTAAACCAAAACCTACCAATTCATTTTTAAAAAGCATATAAGTGTGACTGGGACATGAAGAAGTTATGCCATTTTTGCTAGAATGCATTTTTCCACATACATAAAAAAATGGAAAAAAAAAAAGTCTTTAAGTTACCACGTTTAGAGGTGCCCTGTCTATCAAATCTGTGTTGGCATTAGTCAGCTGTATCTGTACATACTCATGCTGGTCACTTCTGGCTGCACAGAGTTCCTTTAAGGTCTCCAGCAGCTGCAAGGTTAAGGAGGCTGCAGAGGTTTCTGTCCCCAGAGATCAGAGTTTCATGGAGGGCTGAGTATCACCACAGAAACCAACTACAAAAACAGTCTATGGGCTCCTGCCCCGTTACTCTGGTAAAGCAATTTGTACTACGTGAAAGGCAAGGACACAAATGCTGAAAACTGATCAAAGTAAATGCTGCTGTTAAAGTACCATTTTGTTTTGCTGACTTCAAGGCATCAAATCACAGGCTTTGTGTTTTGTTCTAAAAAGATGAAAGTTAAGTGCCAAGGATTTGTAAGGTTGAATTAACTATTCCATCATGAAGACCTTCAGATAAATTCATAGCACATTTTCCAAAACAGCCATTACAAATTTGTGCTAATAAGCCAGGACAAAATATGCTGTGTTGTATTGAATTACACTGCCTAGGCTTGGACAGCTGTTCTCTAAAAAAGAAGAAAAAGAAAAGAATTTTAACTCTCAGATCACATAAGCACATTTTCTGAATTACAAATGATGCACTAAAGATAGATTTATGACATCTTAACTCATTACTCTGCTGCAAAGATTAAATTAACTCATTCAAAGCAGGCAAAATTTAAAGCAGAATTTTGAAAATTTATACCTATCCTTGCTCTAAGTGTTCTCACTCTTTTTGTTAATACAATATTTAAAGGACATAATTTATTCTGGTATTGTAATAGTCAAAGAAATTAATATGAAGAAACATAGCTTCACAGTTCACTCATGTCTAATAATCCATGTAGGAGGTTTCGAATTTCCCCTGAAATTCACTTGAAAAAATACAGTGTTGATACATTGGCCATAACAGAATTCAGTCGAGGATTAATCCATGAATCCACCTCAAGTGGTGGGATCTAGTACTGCACCACTTTTCAGAAGTTTATCAATTACTCTGGGAAGGATCCTCTGGCCAATTTTTTTTATTTTTAAGATAAAAGTAAAGAAAAAATTTTTTTTTAGACAGAGACTGAATTCAAAATGGAACACTGTTTCTTCCTCACCCTCATATTTTTGCTATGCTCACTGAATATTGTGTTACAGATGTGATAGCAAGCCAGCTATAGTAGACTACACTGCCCAGCTTTCAGGAGCCAACAGTTTCCAAGAGAGAGTTGGTTGATTTTTCCAAGAAACATAAAATATGTTCAAGTCGTGTTACTGTTTGAAGGTAGTTTTGATCAAAGGGTTACATATTTGCACTCTTAAATCAAATGAGGGTATAAGCACTTTCCTATAAGCACAGGAGACTGCTTACTGCTTCCCTTCTGGGAAGATTCTCCAATGCACACTCTTTATTCATAAAGGCAAGCACCTATTTTTCTGAAAACTCATCCCAGTAATGAGAAGGAAGATCTTCAAAACAGTATCAGAGAAACAACCAACTCCAGGAAAACTGCAATGCCATTAAAAACAAGCCCTCATACCCACAGTTACTTTTTCTCCCACAGAACTCAACACAGCCCTTGCCACAGACAAGCCATGCTTTCTTCTCTCTGCCAGGCGAGCACTAATGGACCTGCCCCTTTGGGAGAGAGCAGCAGGGCTGCAGTGCATAGGGCATGAGGGAAGAAAAGACCTTTTCTTTTTGCACTGCTGCCAGGATGAGGCATGACTCAGTCCCCAGGGAATGGGTCTGAGTCCCTGGTAGTGTTCACCAGGTACATGGGGGACTGAAGTTTATTCCCAAGGCTCATGTAACACTGTAATTCTAAAATCAACCCTTTGTTTATTTTATCCTAAATATATGATTGCAAATGAATTGGCATTGCCTGGACTTTCTTGCCCACACAATACTGAGAGAATCTGATTGACTAAACAGCAGTTATAGCTCAGTTGTAAAAATCATGGGAAAG